ATGAAAACATGAAAAGATGATTTTACCTGTAGGATTTCCACATGAAACTCCTCTTATTAAAAACGTAGAGCAGTATTCCTTTAGATGAAATATTTGTTTACATTTTTCTAACGAAGTACAAATAAATTTACGGTTTAGCAAATGAAGAAAAGATTTTATATGTGGAATTTGCCGAAATCGTAGATCTTGGGGTTGACAGTCTGCAAGCGAAGATTCATTGCCGTGACACTCCTTTAGAGACAGGATTACTTCCAGGTTTGCTATCAACGGGGGAGACCATGGACTTGCTTTACCAGTCATGCCGAGCATATTACATGCTATTCTTGATTCTTTAACGCTCCAGGATTTAGCACAAATCTTGCCCCAGCGACCTTCAATTTTTACTTCTATGTATCCTTGATTAGGTGTCCACCCTCCAGTTAGACGAATACCTTGAACTGTTACCATTTTAAAGCAAAAACAAAAGATATAGTCCCTTTTCTCATTCCGTAAATACGCTGTGTTTTAAGACTGAAGACTCATCTCCGCAGGCTTAGCCTCACTTAAGAGTAAATCATTTACAAATGTCAATTTTAATGTAAAGACTGTGCAGCTTGAACAATGCCAATGTTTTGAAATCTAACGAAATAGACCTTATTCGTGGTGTGACAATGTTTTCTCAATTCAGCGTGACAAACCTCTGGGGGAATGAAGAGCTATTGTTTTGAAAATCGTCGGGATATCATCATTATTCCTTGCGTATCCTTTGGGATACTCATGAATTTTTCAAAGAGTAAAAACAAAAGAAAATGAATCCCCTGGAAGTTCGTCACGCTGAATTAGGAAAACATTCTCACACCAGGAATAAGGTCTATTTTAATTGTATCTGTGAATAGCTGACTTATAAACGAGGCTAAGCCTGTGCAAAAGAGTCTGTAGTCTTCAAAAACAGCGGCATGCACTGGTGTATTGCACTTTGTTTAGTACTTTAAAAAAAGCCATTTTCATAATTATAATTACACAATACCAAAGGTGTTTAAGGTGGCTGGACCCCCTCACGCTTGACCGCTACCTTCCACGTTTGGAACGCTAGTGCATAAACGTCTTTTATCCGATTGCAAATCTTTTTTGCACATAAGTCACATAAAGATTGAATTAATGTTTGATGCAATTTTTAATGAGATCGGACGTCATAACACGTGATTATGATGATATATTTGTTTTCGTTTAGAGAGCAATTTTAGCCTTGCAGAGCGTTCAACACTAAAATGCTTCGTACCACATAATTATATACTAGAT